CTGACATGACTGACAGTTTTCTGTTTTTGTAGTAAAAGTTGGCAAAAAAAAAAATGGCAACAAAAAACGTAATGAAATAATGAAAGAAACATGAAACATTTTACACTTTTACTATTTCAGTTTTGAAGACGTTGTCTAAAATTGTCTATTCATTTCTTAAATGTTGTTGTTTCTTCTATATAATAAAGTCATGGTAGTTAAAGTTGTGGGTTTTTTTCTTCTTGGCCTTTTTGTTGAGGAGGATAATAAGGAAAAGTGTTATACATTTTTTGTATTTTTTCTTAAACTAAAAATGGTTAAATTATGACAGCTTGATGATAATCATTAGTAAAGTTTTTTTCTTCGATTTGGTTTCAATTCTGAATATTTGTGTTTTTATGAAGATTTTTATAAAGCAAGTTCCTTTAAGTGTTAGGAAAATATTTCTTTTTCTTTCAATTATCTTAAATATTTGTTCAAATTTACTTTTGGAATTTGAAATTTAAAAAGCCTTAAAAGTTTAGTTTAGTTTTTTAGAAAAAATTTGCTAATTTGTTAAGATTTTCCTTAAAAAGTTTACATTTTATTTAATTTGAAAAACTTTTTAAAGGATTTTTAGTAAGAAGCTTCAGTTTTATGAAATTGTGTTTAAATAATTTGTCTATAATATTGCATGAAGAGACATTTGATTGTAAAAGCTTTCATTTAGTAACCTTTACATAGTTGGCTATTACCAAAGTCTTGAAAGCTCAACTAAAGTTTTATGGAAAACCAACATTTGCTGGAAAGTTTTTTATACTTTTTATAATAATAATTTTCTTAAAAAGGGGGCATTTTTGTTCTATTAAAACTTTAAAAAGCTTTTTAAAACAACCTTCACTTTAGGCATCACTACTTCAAAAATAGCTTTTTTCTCGACTTAAGAATTGTTGCTAGACGCTGCTACTTTCATATGTTTTCTTTAAAAGCTTTTAAAAACCTTCAACTTCGGCAGCGATGTTTCAAAATGAGCTTTTTTCTCGTCTTAAGACTTCCTACTTAAAGCTACTGCTTTCATATTCTTCCCTTTATCTTATCTTTTAACAAATATACATATATTATACATCAATTAAAAGTTTGCTGTGTCTTCTTTTTAAAAATATAAAAAAAGTTTAGTTTTTCGGGACTTTCATTTAAGACTTTTGCTTCAAAAACAGCTTTTCCCCGTTATAAAACATGTTACTTGAAGCTGTTGCTTGCTTTTTCTTAACTTTTAAAGTAATATAAACATATTGTATATCGCTGGAAAGGTAAATATATCTAATTTGTATCCACAGTGGTGCTTCCTAGACTGTAATTCATTACAAATTGAAAGGAATATGTTAAAACTTTTCATGTTGAAATGATGTAACTTTAGCTGGCTCTGCAGAAGTCTCTAGTTAAAATTGACTTTTATTTTAAACATATTTCGAAAGCTCATCTTGTCTTTTATCAAGTATCCCAATTTGAAAGAGTTCAGAGCTATAGTTTAGTTATGATAAACGTTTTAAAATCCCTTTAAATTAAATCTATAAACAAGCTGATATATTTAAAGAAAGCTGTCTCAAATCAATGTTCTTTAGAGCAGACTTTACAATGAAGAAAGCCGAGTGCAGAGGATAATAATATTTATATATCGTCCATAAAAAATAAAGTCATAAAAAGCGACACACTCTCGTTTTAAACCCAAAAGCTTTGTTATTAGTAGTTAAAAAGTTTAAACAACTTTGACTTGCTCTGGAGCAGCTTGCGGTTAAAATGAACTTTCATGTACATAATATTTAGAAATCTTTTCTTCTCTTTTATCACTATTCCAAATTTGAAAGACGTAGGAGCTATAGTTTAGTTATCGTAAATGTTTTAAAAAGCTCTTTAGTAAACTTACATATATTTGAAAAAAACCTTCGCAAATCAATGTGTCTTAGATCACATAGGTCAACTAAGGAAGTTGTGAGTCCAGATAGAACATATTTTTGTATAGCCAATAAGAAACAGAGTCATAAAAAGCTATCAAAAAGCAAAAATGTCTCGTTTTAAACTCAAAAGCTTTATTATAATGAGTTAAAGAAGTTTAAGCAACTTTGTCTTGCTCTGGTTTAGTTTGAGCTTAAAATTTACTTTTGAAATATTCTTTATGAGATCTACATGTTACCAATAGGTTTAAAAGTCCGACTTTTTAAAGCTTTTAAGCTTAAAAGTTCTGTTATAAGTAGATAAAAATGAACTTTGACTTAATCTGCAACAGCTTGCGCTTCATTATTAGACCTGCATACTTGCTGCCAATAGGCCAACTTATTAAAGCTTTTAAGCTCAAAAGCTTCTTTATAAGTAGATAAAAGCAACTTTGACTAAATCTAGAGCAGCTTTACTTTTGTATACACATTTTTTAAAAGCTGGTCTCTCGTCTTTTATAATTAGTCCTAATTTGAAAGAGTTAGATGTCGAAGTTGCGAAAACTTTGAAATGTTCTTTATTAGATCTATATGCCCAACAAAAGGGCGACTTATTAAAGCTTTTAAGCTTAAAAGCTTTCGCAAATCAATAAATAATAGATCAGAGAATACAAAGAAGAATATCGCGAGTATAGAAAGTTATGCAAAGCGATCAAAGCTCCCCATTTGTTCTAAACTCAAAAGCTTCATTATAAGTAAATAAAGTGTTCTAAATAATAAACAATTTTGTAAACATTTAAGCTTTTAGCTTTAGTATATTAATACAACTGTTTACGGATTCCTATTACGCTTCTTTGTAAGCTCTTTTCCAGCAGTTGTAATAACATAAACTATAGTTTATATTATTTTCCATTTGTAATGTTTAAAACGCCATATTTTCTATAATATTAAGTTTTTCAATAAAAAAAATTTTTCGCACTAACGCACATTTTGCGGTTTTAAACAAAACCAACACAAAACCAACATGAACGAAACATGTGCGGTTTAAAGAAAATAAAAAAAAAAATATGGCGTGTTTGGAAATGTACAAAAATTAACAACAAAAAAAAAACAAACATATGTTGGCTATATGTTATAAACATAAAAACATATACATATAAACTTACATATCTATTGAAAATAAAATCTTAGGTAATACACACTTACACCTTCTCTAGCCTTAAGCTCTGTACATACATATGTATAGGGCTTACATGTATGTATGCGTTTGCATTTTGTGGTTTACCACTTCCGTTTCCGTGTTTAACTAACAGTCAAGAAACATAACAGTTGTGGTCAATTAATATCATAGAAAAAAAAATGACAAACAATAGTTGTTTTTATTAATATTTTATAGTTTTTTTTGAAATATCTATTATTGAAAAAAACACCTTTTTTTGTTCCCTTAAAACAGGACATTTTGTGGTAATTTTCTATAAAATATTTATAAATATTATACTTTAATTTATTTAAGCTTTTATTGTTGTTTTTCTCAGTGTTACAATAATATTTTATCTAACACTTGTTATGTAAATGTTTTATTAAATATTTATAAATTTTTATTGTTTCTCTACGATTTAGTGTGAGAACTAAAGATTTAGAACACAAGTGCTTTTGTTCCATTAAAGTGAAAATGAATAAAGCTTATAAAAAATTGCTTAAAACAAAAAGCTATTAGGTGAGCTTTTAAAGATTTTCTTTTTTTTGTTAACGTCAAACTTCATTAGAGTCTTAAAAAAGCGATGCAGGCTTTAAACTTTGTCTTGGGTAATAGATTGTTTAAACAGATTTATGGTTTTAGCTTTAAAAGCTTTTGAGAAAGAGCTTTAGAGTTTTAAAGAAAGTTAAAGATGCCTTCGGCAGGTTGGCTGCAGTAGTGTTATAGTCTGTCCGTCCGTAGGTAGGATTTATGGGATTAGCTTTAAAAGCTTTAGCTTTAAAAGCTTTTGAGAAAGAGCTTTAGAGTTTTAACGAAAGTTAAAAATGCCTTTGGCAGGTTGGCTGCAGTAGTGTTATAGTCTGTCCGTCCGTAGGTCTGATTTATGGGAGTAAAGAAAGCTTTAGCTTTAAAAGCTTTTGAGAAAGAGCTTTAGTGTTTTAAAGAAAGTTAAAGATGCCTTCGGTAGGTTGGCTGCAGTAGTGTTATAGTCTGTCCGTCCGTAAGTCGTGGGTTCGATTTCCACCACCTGTGTTATAGATTGATAAAATGGGTTTATGCGAATAGCTTAAAGAGCTTTTAAGAAATAGCTTTTCTAGTTTTGTTTTAACGAATGTTAAGGATGTCTTCGGCAGATTTGGTGGTAGTGTTTTAGTCTGTCCGTCCGCTCCATTAGGAGATCTGGTTAAGGAGCTCACAATATGTCCAACAATGGCCTTGCCAGAGTACTAAACACTGTAAGGTATCCTTATTACCCAAGAAGCTTAAGGAGAATACCAAAGCTTTCATCAGACAATGTTTTTATTGCTTTCACTTCCGCAAAACAATCTTATTTCAGATCATTATTAAAGTAACTATAAGACTAGTGCTTACCAGAGTAATGCAGGCGGTAAGGTGTCTCTATTATCCACTAAACTTGTGTACAATACAATAAGCTTTCAATTAAAGCTTATTTTTAAATATACTCTCCTTTTCTGAGCTCTATAAAGCTAAAACTTTATTAATTTCTTTATTAAAAGAACTATAAGGTTTAAGCCTAACAGGGTAATGCTAATGGTAAGGTGTGCTTATTATCTAGTAAGAGCATTGAACAAAAGCTTTCTTTAATATGTTTACAGGCTTTGGTAGCGTTCTTTTTTTGCTATTTTTAAACAAATTTTATTTATTGTTGCAAACTAAACTTTTTTATGTTTCTTTCATTTGAAATATTTCGTTTTTTTGTTGTTGTTATTTATGTTAAATTTTTATTGTAGTTATTTTTATTATTATTATTATTGTTACAATAAAAAAAAAACCCCCATTTAAACACGCAAACTTAACTTCTTCTCTTAACTATTTCTGGCTTTTGTTTTAAAACTTAAAGCTTTAAATTATTTATATTTAATAATGTTTTTTTTTTATCTTCTTGTTTTCAGTTACGGCGGCATACGCAGTAGTTATCAACATTTTGCTCCACAAGGTGGTCAAGATTCTGGTTTTCCCAGTCCACGCAGTGCTTTAGGTTATCCATTCCCGCCCATGCATCAAAATACCTATTCAGGTTATCATTTAGGCAGTTATGCGCCGCCCTGTGCAAGTCCACCAAAGGATGGTAAGTGTTTTAAAGTTGTTATTAGGTTAAGGGTCTGAAGACTTTTTTAAATAGAAATCAAAAGCTTTAGAAAAGAGCTTAGCCACAAAGTGCTTCCAAGTAAGCGTTGAATTAAGTACTTCTAATAAGTAAGTACTTTTTAAGAATTTCCTCATTTAACCTTTAAACAATCAATCAATCATATTAGTAAAATAAAATTTCACATGTTTCGTTTTGTTTTAGATCAATATCTCTCTTTCAAAAGGATCTTAAATATGTCATTAAGTTTTATGATTGATTACATTATTAAAATTTCTAAAAAAACTCTCAAACACTTATCTAAAGGCTCATCTCTCAATCCACAGTTTAGGGCACCCTCATATATATTTCTTTAATATTGTTTTCATTCTTTGATCAAGTATCATTTTAATACAAAATTTACAACTTTTTCAATAAACATACCAAAAAAATTTTGTCTTCATTGAATTAAATAATCAGTTGGCAGAATGTGTTTGTTCAAAAAACCAAAAAAAATTATTTAATATGATAAACAACAGCTCCTACTACACTTAAAAGTTCACAAAAGTAAGCAAACCAACAACCACTTAAGAAAGTCTTCTTTTTTCTCTTTGCTAAAGCTTCAAAGTTTGAGCAAGTGTTTAAAGGTAGACAAAGAAAGACAGACGGACAGACGGATAGATGGACAGACATACGGACATCTAGAGGTTTTAAGCTTTACATTTTTTTGAAAAGATCTTCTTTAGCTGTAGCTTCTTTTTCTTGCTTTTTTGAAATCCCAATTGAAATATATTCGTTTAACAAATTTCGCATACAAAATGTGTATTAGTTAAATGAATTTGTTTAAGTTGTTTCTTTTTTTTGCAACTCACACTTGTATGATGCTACATATAAGGAGATTTTAGTTTTTTGAAGAAACCCAGCAAAAAATTTGTTATGAAAAGAAACTAGAAGGAGGAGGATCTTATAGTGCGGACTATAGAATAGACTATAGTCTGGACTATAGAATTGACTATAGTCTGCACTATAGACTAGACTAAAGTCTGGACTATAGAATGGACTAAATTCTGGACTATAGAATAGACTATAGTCTGGACTATAGAATAGTCTATAGTCTGGACTATAGAATAGTCTGGGCTATAGAATAGTCTATAGTGTGGACTATAGAATAGTCTATAGTATGGACCTTAAAACAGTCTATAGTCTGGACTATAGTCTAGTCTATAGGATGGACGATAGAGCGGTCCCAAGCCTGAACTATAGAATAGTCTATAATCTGTTTTATACATATAGTCTAAAGTCTGGACTATAGAATAGTTTATAGTCTGGACTATAGAATAGTCAATAGTCTGTAGTATATAGTCTGGACTATAGAAAAGTCTATAGTCTGGACTACAGAATAGTCTGTAGTCTGGACGATAGAATAGTCTATAGCCTGGACTATACAATAGTCTATAGTCTGGACTATACAATAGTCTATAGTCTGGACTATAGAATAGTCTATAGTCTATAGAACAGTCTATAATCTTGGACTATAGAATAGTCTATAGACTGGTCTATAGTATGGACTATAGAATAGTCTGTAGTCTGGACTATAGATTAGGCTATAGTCTGGACTTTAGAATAGTCTATAGTCTGGACTATAGAATAGTCTACAGTCTGGACTATAGAATAGTCTACAGTCTGGACTATAGAATAGTCTATAGTCTGGAGTATAGAATGGTCTATAGTCTGGACTTTAGAATAGTCTCTGGTCTGAACTATAGAATAGTCTATAGTCTGGACTATAGAATAGTCTATAGATTGGACTATTGAATAGTCTATAGTCTGGACTTTAGAATATTCTCTGGTCTGAACTATAGAATAGTCTTTAGTCTGGACTATAGAAAAGTCTATAGTCTGGACTATAGAATAGTCTGTAGTCTGGACTATAGAATAGTCTATAGTCTGGACTATAGAATAGTCTGGACCATAGAATAGTCTGGACCATAGAATTGTCTGGACTATAGAATAGTCTATAGTCTGGACTATAGAATAGTCTACAGTATGGACTATAGAATAGTCTATCGTCTGGACTATAGAATAGTCTATAGTCTGACCTATAGAATAGTCTATACTCAGTACTATAGAATAGTCTATACTCAGGACTATAGAATAGTCTATAGTCTGGACTATAGAATAGTCTATAGTCTGGACTATAGAACAGTCTATAGTCTTGACTATAGAACAGTTTATAGTCTTGACTATAGAACAGTCTACAGTCTTGACCACAGAACAGTCTATAGTCTTGACAATAGAAAAGTTTATAAGCTTGACTATAGAACAGTCTATAATCTTGACTATAGAACAGTCTACAAAATAGTCTATGGTCTGGACTATAGAACAGTCTATGGTCTGGACTATAGAACAGTCTATAGTCTGGACTATAGAATATTCTATAGTCTGGACTATAGAATATTCTATAGTCTGGACTATAGAATATTCTATAGTCTGGACTATAGAATAGTCTATAGTCTGGACTATAGAATAGTCTATAGTCTGGACTATAGAATAGTCTATAGTCTGGACTATAGAATAGTCTATAGTCTGGACTATAGAATAGTCTATAATCTGGACTATAGAATAGTCTATAGTCTGGACTATAGAATAGTTTATAGTCTGGACTATAGAATAGTCTATAGTCTGGACTATAGAATAGTCTATAGTCTGGAGTATAGAATAGTCTATAGTCTGGAGTATAGAATAGTCTATAGTCTGGAGTATAGAATAGTCTATAGTCTGGACTTTAGAATAGTCTCTGGTCTGAACTATAGAATAGTCTATAGTCTGGACTATAGAATAGTCTATAGATTGGACTATTGAATAGTCTATAGTCTGGACTTTAGAATATTCTCTGGTCTGAACTATAGAATAGTCTATAGTCTGGACTATAGAATAGTCTATAGATTGGACTATTGAATAGTCTATAGTCTGGACTTTAGAATATTCTCTGGTCTGAACTATAGAATAGTCTATAGTCTGAAGTATAGAATAGTCTATAGTCTGGACTTTAGAATAGTCTCTGGTCTGAACTATAGAATAGTCTATAGTCTGGACTATATAATAGTCTATAGTCTGGACTATAGAATAGTCTACAGTCTGGACTATAGAATAGTCTACAGTCTGGAATATATAATAAACTATAGTCTGGACTATAGAAGTGTGGACTATAGAATAGTCTATAGTCTGGACTATAGTCTAGTCTCTATTCTGGACTATAGTCTAGTCTATAGGATGGACGATAGAGCGATCCCAAGCCTGGACTATAGAATAGTCTATAATCTGTTTTATGGAAAATATATAGTCTGGACAGCATCAAAATTCACTGGGTTATCTGTTCCAACACACTCTCTTTTAAATCTGCCAATAGAAAAAAAAAATCCCCCAACAAAAGAATGAATTGTATTAAATAACAATTGTATACTCAGTTGGTTCATACGTATATGTGATTTATTATGGATTTTAAATGATTTTTATTGTGGCCAAATTCACACTTGTCTAGAGCTCTTGTAAACTGTGTTATCAAGGGTCCTTAAGCAAAACAACAGCGACGACGATGATGATGAAGACGATGACGACAATAAACAGATAAAAAAAGTGCTTCCTCATGCTTTGAATTTATAACAGATTTAAGTGAGAGTTGTTTTTGTTAAACAAAAATATGTTTTTTTATATCCATTGATCTTTTAA